TTTCATGGTTACAAAATGCTATGAACTTCATTAGAGAGAGGAATCTTCCCATTTGATCTGTACTACTTTCTCTTATCCTAGAGGTGGTGCTGTCTACAAGGAAGCCACTGATAAGCAGAGGATGGTCAGGAGAAAGAAGGGGGGGGGAAAGGAACGGAGTGGAGCTTGTCATCCCAGTGCATAGTGAGGATATAAATAATGGAAAATGAAACAAATCACATCAATCTGAAGAAAGTTAAAGAAAGGAAGTTATGGGAGAAAAGAGGTAGGCAGGAGGCAACCCTACCAGTGAGAGTTAAACTCTATTTGAAACAGTACTTCGTGGTTGTTGCTGTAGAGAAGTGTTGCATACATGAAGACCATTTCAATCATAGATCAGTGAACACATTATAGAGAGAGCTCTCTTATTTTCTTTATAGTGTGATCTCATTTACATGGCTGAGTTAGGACCTCTTAAAGAAATTAAAATACAAAATAGAAATGCACAGACAGTGGAAGCAATGGTCTACATGAAAAGTTTGTAAGGATACAGCCTATTTAGGGTTTGGGGTTGGGACAGGGAAAGGCAAGGCACAGCAAGAGTGAAACTTGACTAGGAATGTGAAGAATACCAGGAAGGGTTTCTGCAGTTATAGAACACAGAAAAGGAAGACATAAGAAATTGTAACCTCTGATGAATGAGACAGGGAACTTGGCTACAGCTGACATGGAGAAAGCTAACATATTCAACAACTTTTTGGCCACAGTCTTAACCAGCATTTGCTCCTACTATACCTCCCAAGTCTAGAAGTAGGAACTGGGGAAATTAAGTCCTACCCACCGTATGATGCTCTGAGACCATGTGAGGAACCTGAATATGCACAATTCCATTAGACCCAAGGAGATGCATCCCAGAATCTTAGGGGAACTGGCAGATTAAGTTGCTAACCATTCTCCTTCATATTTGAAAAGGTATGAAGTCCGGCTGGAAAAAGAGAAGTGTAACAGCCATGTTTAAAAAAGGTAAAAAGGAGGACCTGTGGAGCAGCAGACCAGTCATCTTCAATAGACTACTCTTCTTCATCTTTGCACACAGTAAGATCATGGAGCAGATCCTCCTGGAAACCATTTTAATACATACAGAAAGTATGATTGTAGACAGCAAGCATTCACAAAGTGCATATCATGTCTAGATAGTTTGGTGACCTTCTACAACAGCACTGGTGGACAAGGAAAGAGGAACTGATCTATTTTGACTTGTGCAAAGCCTTTGATATGGTCCCACATGAGACCCTTATCTCTAATTAGGAAAGACATGGATTTGATGGGCCACTTTGTAAAAAATCAGCTGAGTGATTGCATCCAAAGGGCTGGGATGCCATCTAGAGGAATTTTGACAGGCTTGAGAGTTGGGTCTGTGCGAACCTTGTGAAATTCAATAAAGCCAGGTTGCTGCAGCTGCTGTCTCCAAACATCAGAACTAACTGGCTGATGAATGGAGCAGCTCTGTGCAGAAGGATGTGGGGGTAGCTGATAAATGAAAAACTCAACATGAGCTAGCAGTATATGCTTGCAACTCAGAAAGCCAATATCCTGGGCTGCATCAAAAGAAGTGTGGCTAGCAGGTTGAGCAATATGATTGCCCTCAGGGATACCTTATTACTGTCTTCTAATACTTTAAGGGACTCTAGAGGAAAAAATGGAGTGAGGATCACTATCAGGAAAAGAAGTAACAGTGTCAAACTAAAAGAAAATAGATTTAAATTAGATATAAGAACGGAATTCTTCACTGTTGGGATGGTGAGGCACTGAACACATTCCCCAGAGAAACTGGAGGTGTTCAAGACCCAGCCTGCATGGGACTTATGGCAATATGATCTAGCGGGTGACAACCCTGCCCATGGCTGGTGTGTAGAACTAGATAGTCTTATTGTCCTTTCCAACCCAGGACATTCTGTAAGACTGTGTTCATGCCAGTGTGTGTAATTCAGTTGCTGAAGGGAAGACCACTGTTAGAAAAACGTTTAGTTATCCTGTGCCATTCTAGGGTATGAGTGGAGGGCATCTAAATCTCTGCAGGAAGTGGATTTAGTTCCAGTTGCATACGTAAAGACAATATGGATCTTGGATCTTGTCCTAAGAGTATCCAGAGTTTGAATGATCTGTAAAACGCCTGCAATATATATGAGACTAGGAAAACAGAAGAGAGGCTGTATGTTAGTTGCTTTTCTTTTATTCAGGAAACTCAAGTTTAGATAAATCTGGAAACACATATCAAGAAAACCTAATTTCCAGTGCTTGGTACCTGAATCCTTTTTCGGGGTTTGCTCTGCCTCTGATTATCATGTTTGTTGCCAGTCCATGTAAATTTGTGAATGCAGTACATACTGTTCTTCTTTCTGGACTGCAAACTGATTTTAACATTCTTTTCGAATTACCATCCCCCTTTTCTTACAAACAAAAACCAAAAACCTCTGTGGTCTTGCTTGCTCCAGCCTGTCTTGCTAAACTTATTTGTCTTTGTGTTCCTCTCCCTCCATTTGTGTAGCGAAGACCTCTTTCCTTTAGTTTTAGACAGTGTCCTCACTATTGTGAGTCTTTTCTGTTACATCTTCTGCCACCTTGAACAATGTTTCTGTGACTGTCTTTTGGCTTTTATTTTTGTTTCAGAACTCCATTGAAAATGCATTCATTTTTCCTTATTTTTTCCCTCTTCCTTTGCTGTTATTTAAAGATTTTATTGTTAATATAACTCTTAATGCATTGCATAACAAAACTACAGAAAATGAAGTTGTATGGACTACCTCTTGTACCCATTTAAATTGAAAGTAAAGCTGCTGCTGTTTTGAATACAAGCAGGCTTGGGCCCTCAGCAAAATTTCGTATAAATGAAAATCCATGTTACACTACTTGAGAGTCTGTTTTTTCAAAACAGTAAATTGGTACTGTTCTGGGCCATGTCTTTTGCTCTAAATGGAACTCGCTTTTGTTGGCTCATTCCTAGCTTTGGTAAGTTTAAAAAAACAAAAACATTTATCCTCTTTGTTTCAAATAAGTTTGGAGCAAATAAGTTCCTTTTGCTCACATACTGTTGTGAGGTTAAGAAAATTGCAGGAGTAATGTATGTTCCACTGACAATCAAAACTTTTTGATGGTAGTGGTACATGTTGCCAAAGTGGAAGAGAGTGAGATAGTGTAAGTGGTTGCTACTGCATATAAAAGGCAGAGGCTTTTTGTGGCAGACAAAGAAATATGAAGCTTCAGCCTCTTAAAAGGCATTATAAACATTATACTAAATTGTAGGTAGCAAAATTTGTTGAGGCTGAGCAGTAAGGTTTTTAACTTGTCCTTTCTTTGCAGAACTTGATCTTCTAGTGTCATTAGGTAAGGAGATAATTATACCCCTAATTATACCCCTTGTGGTAGCTACTTGATTATTTCCAACCTTCGCATCTTTTTTTTTTCCTGTTGATAGTGTTCCATAACTCTGTTTAGAACATTATCGCAAGTATTAATGTTTTCTTAAAATAAATGAAGTTTGTTTGTTTCCACAGTTTCCATGGCTACACGGAATTGCACACGATTCTGTAGGCGAGGCTCTTTCCAAGAGTAATTAACCTATTAATACAGTGTATCAACAGTACTTCTGCCCACAGATGGGTACTTAAATGTGACCCTTAAGCTGTTCTCTTTTTAGAGAGCCAGATGTAAACCTAAGCAGTGTTTAGATTAATGAAAGGTAGGCTGCCCCAAAATATCTTGAAGTTTGTTCACACGTGTTTGCATATATAGTCAGTATATAAGATACTCTCTGTCTTCCATCACTGTGTTCCTATACTATTAGGTCTCATCTTCTTACCTTCTATTGGATTTTCTAATCCTGTTATAGCAGCTCCTTGATTATCATGACCTGAAAATTGACTTTGGCAATATTCTATCTGATTAATTTCTAACTCCGTGCTTGTCATTTCTATATCTCAGATTGCCAAGTCTGATCCATAAGTACTAGTGTTGTTAAAACTTTTCTGTCAGTTTGGTACTGTCCAGAACACAAAGAAAACGGTTTGTAATCTTTGTAATGTCATATAGACAAGACAGAAGTGTAAGGAAGTGATCCACGGTTGACAGAATTAAATGTTAATCTTTTGTGTCATTATGATTGCCATTAGATTTCACATCTGATACAATTATTGGGCAGTAATGCTGTTATCCTTGCATCAATAACATCTCAGTAAGTATAGATTTTTTTTACAGCTGAAGATATCAGCACATAGAGGAATGTTAAGGTCTTAAGTATAGAATCATCACATCAAAGAATCACTAAAGTTGAGTGATCAGTGAAGATCATCCAGTACAACCATCTACCTATCACCAATTGTTCTCACTAAGCCATGTCCCTCAACATGTCTAAACATTCCTTGAACGCCTCCAGGATCAGTGACTCCAACACCGCCCTGGGCAGCCCATTCCAGTGCCCAATAACTCTTTTGGAAAAGTAGTATTTCATAACATCCAGTCTGAATTTCCCCTGGTGCAACTTGAGGCCATTCCCTCTAGTTCTGTCACTATTTACATGGGAGAAGAGATCAACCCCCAGCTACAACCTCCCTTCATGTAGTTACAGAGAGCAATGAGGTCTCCCCTGAGCCTCTCTTCTCCAAACTGAACAATCCCAGCTCCCTCAGCTGCTCCTCATAAGACCTGTGCTCCAAACCCCTCACCATTTTTATTGCCCTTCTCTGGACACTCTCTAGGAAGTCAATGTCTTTCTTGCAGTGAGGGACCTAAAACTGAGCACAGCACTCAAGATGCAGCCTCACCAGTGCTGAGTACAGATACAAGTAAATGATATTGAATCCATGGTGGTCACATAACTGCTCTTACATGTCTCAGTGATTTTTTTTCTCTTCTTCAACAAAAATACGAGGACATAACGTGAGAGATATGACCCAAAATCTTAAATGCACAAAAATATGATGTGTTGACTGATGAATCTGCACACATGTTCATTTTATTCACAGGTATCACGAGCTGGTACTACTATGTAACTATGCCAATGCCAGCATCCACCTTCACTATTGCTGTAGGCTGCTGGCAGGAAGTCAAACAGCAAGGCTTCATGGCTGATATCCAGACAGAAGATGAGTTTTCCATGCCATTTTCACAAGATGATTTCAGGTTGGTGTTTGAATTATTGTTGAAAAGCGACATTTTACTCCACAGTGACATTTTCTCCATGGAAGGTGAAAATAAGCCATTTCAGTACAGGAATAAAAACAGAATTTTTCATCTTACTAGAAAAATTGTGGCAGGGAAACAATTCCCAAGGCTTTTTTTCATGTGTAAGGGTGTGGTTCTTTTTATGTAAAAACAAACTGTTTCATGAGCAATAGCACTAATCCTAGCATTCTCTGGATTTGCATCTTACATCCTGTGGTGTTTAATGCTCTGCTGCAAGACTAGCAGATTCTCCATTTTTTATTACAGTCTCTTTCTGTATAATCCTCAGTGCTGCTTGGCACATCCTGGATATCTAGTGCCCACTAGTGCTGTAGTTCTTAGCAAATGCAAGCCCCTACTTCTCCTTTCTTTTACAGTCCCATTGCAGTTAGAGCTGACGTGCATAGTTGTTTGCCTGGATTGGTGTGTAATGTTGCAGTGGTTCTGTGAAAGAATTTTGGACGTTCATTCGGTTCAATGAAAAATAGCCTGTTGTCCAGTATATGCAGTGGCTACTTTGTTATCTTTCACAAAGTCTGTAGAAATGTAATTATTTTGGATACATTTATCTTTCTTTTCAATATAGTCAAAAAGATTCACTGCATTTAAATTATTACAGAGTTGTCTGTCCATTTAGATATTTGTAAATGTTAGTGAGATCTCCCCTCAATCTTCTTTTTCCCAGACTGAAAAGACCCAAATTACTCAGCCTTTCCTCAAAAGGGAGATGCTCTAGGCCCTTTATCATCTCTGTGGCCCTCCCCTGGACTTGTTCTTGGAGATCCCTGTGAATGAATATTATAATGTCATATAGTCTTTCCAGTGACAACTGAAGTTAAAAATTAATTTTCTGGAGCAGAAAAGCTTGATTCCACATGTATTCACCTTAGTTAACAGAAGTCTCAGACATAGCTTAAAAAAAAAAAAAAAAAAAAAAAAAAAACCTTACTCATAAGTTTTAGGACTAATACTGTGTTAGCATTAAGATTGTGGAAGTCCTTACCATTTTGATATGAGTTGGTAAGGATTTGGAAACTGAGGACGTAATTGCTAAAATTTAAAATTAAAGGACTCTGATCTCTTGCAGCTTGGCTAATTTTGTTTTTAAAAAGTCCTAATAAATCTTGGGAATAGGAACTTTTATGTTTTGTTTAACATCAGTAACACATGCCTATTCAAGCTTTAAAGCAGTTTATACATACATAAGCTTTTAGAAATTATTTTCTGTTTATTTCTCTACTGTTTATTTGTTTGTTATATGACTGTCTATACAGAAGTACTCAGTAACTGTTAACCATGTTTCTCTAATGTGCAGGATATTCAGTGACGGATTTGATGCAGGATATTAATCAGACAGTTTGTTTAATTTTTATTTTTTAAAAACTTTGGGAAAATGGGATTTTCTTTATCTTCCTGTAGCAAAAAATACAGCACGTTCTAATCAGTGTGATGTTCATTGTTCTCATTTGTTTTTGTTGAATAAATTGAAATCTGCAACAGGTGAGCTTTAGAAGAAAAACTAACTCAAAAAGATTTTTTAAAAAAGCACATTTGGGAGTTAGCACAGCAATTGCTCACTGTTTATTTAAATCAGTAAGACTAAGTAACCAAACCAGTAGCAGAGGTTTCTAGAAAGGATATGAAATCGATATCAAGCAGATATTAAAGTAGTGTCTCAGGAATGATAAAGGGTATAGACTCTTGAGCAGCAGGAAAAAGGATCTCCAAAAGGAATTACTGAAATGTGTAATATAATTTATGTTCAGACACCAGCGAGGTATGAGAAGACTGCATCAAAATAGTAAATGCAGTTAGAATGTAAAATAAGTTTCCTATCTCCATAAGGACTAATTGGCAAATGTTAAGAGAATTGAGCTGATGGCTTTTATGTTCCTGATTAATCTCAACTCTGACAATTAAATACAAATTTATATTCTTTTAGAGCAAAAATATTGTGGTTTAGACAACTCTCGGGAAAAAAAGAAGTGTTTAATGGTAGATAAGAGTTTTTCTGCTTCTGTAATAAAAATCTGCTTCTTTTACACAAGGTGTTTGTTTGACACTTACAAATTTTGGCACTTCTGAGAAGCATAGCTCTTTTCTACATCTTGTCGTTTGTTTTTGTGTATCAGCACTTACCTGGAGTGAATTTTTACTTTTACACTCTTACAAATATAAATGCTTTTGGGTGATGCTTGGTGCAGTAAGCGTTTCATCTGTCAAAGCATAGTAGAACCAGCTTCTTGAAGCTGAAATCTGATACCAGGAGATGCTCTGCCCTGTAGAGAAGACAAGTTAACAGGTGAAAACATGAAGCTGATCTTTGCTCAGATACAAATCTATTTGGACAGATAAAGGTGTATGACTCAGATTTAGAAAGGATCACATTTATTCATCTTTCTAGCCACAGCTTTGAATATTCTGTAAGAGTAACTTAGTATTGTCTTGCTACTAATAGTGATATCTATGTTGATCAGACTGAAATGATAACTACTTTTTTTTCATTTAAGAAAAAAACCCCAAAACAGTAAAAACTCATGGACATTTTTTTTTTTTTAAACTAAAAAAAAAAAACAGAAAAAAAATGTAATTTAATTGTAGTTGCATGTAATAAGAGAGTAAAAAGATTTTTAGATCATCATTTAAGTGGAAATTCTCTGAATAAAGAAGCATTCTTGTATCATTATTTAGTTTTTAAGTTTTTTTAATCATGTTTATTATAAAAGAAAGGTTTGGCTATTTCTTCTTTTTTAGTTATAAGTAACTCTATTTGCTCTATTCAGATGTGTAATAATATTGATTCTTTTTTCACAGTGCCAAACATGGGTGAGTGGTATGAGAAGATGAAATGAGATAGATGTATGTGAACTAATTGTATCATTCTGGTGTCTGGAAAATGTCTTTATGTTAGTATATTCCATTGTGATTTCTGTATCACATTAAACTATTTTTTGTTGTTACTATCAGATGGCATAAAGAAAGCTGTGGTCATGTGGAATATCCCTGCCGTTTCCAAAATCCTGCTGCCACATTGCAAAGAGTCATTCCCTATAGAGTCTTTGCTCCCTTGTGCCTCATGGAACGCTGTGAAGAACATTTACTTCAGCTTATTCCTCAGTGCCTCTCAGCTGCTTACTCCACACTGGGCACCCATCCCTTTTCCAGGCTTGATGTTTTGATAGTTCCTTCAAACTTTTCCAGCCTGGGAATGGCTAGGTAAAGAATGCTTTTACTATCTTGCCTTATTCTGTGTTTTGTTAGACTCCTTTTTATCAGCTAATTAATAGAGTAAAATTGCTGTAATATAAAACTGTTTTATTAAATCAATTTTAAAATGCTAGTTGTTGCTAGCTGGGTTTTCCTTAGTAGATTTACTTGCATACTTTGTGCTGAGATCTTTAATTTCAGTGTTATAAGGACTTGGGAAGTAAAATATAAGTTCTAAGACATGTGTCTGAATTTCTGCTTTGCAAAACTGAAGTTTTTAAAAATTCTATTAATTGCAGTAGTTGATGCTAATATAATTTCATGTTTTTTGTTGTTGTTGCTGATGACTTTGTCATTATGTCCTGACAGAACATGTTAAAATTCAGATAAGTAGTTTATTTATTAGTCTTCTTTGATTTAAGATTTTCTAGTCAAACAGTGGGCTTTGGAAGCTGAGGAAAGCAAACTTTGAGTATTCATGTAATTTTGGAAAATAAAAAGCTTAATTAAATATAATTATTTTGACAGTACAATTTCCAGTTGTGCAGTAACAGAAGGATTTTAGCTCTAGTACTAGTACAGCAACATCTAGCAATTAAAATTTCCCATTTATTTTTTAATTTTCTAAAAAATATTTAAGTTGCTTATCAGATAGCATTTGCTAATAGCAGAGAACAAAATGCTATTTGAATTACTGTTTCCTAGTACCAAAACTAGTCTAGAAGGCATATATATATAGATTAAAACATACACAGCTGAAGGCTGAAAGGAGAACTGCTCCTTTCAGCCTGCTCCAAAAGTAAGGCATCCTATTTTATCCTACATTGGCCCACAACGTTCTGGCAGAAGTTGGTCATATGGCAGTAGAGGTTGAACCTTTCCACCACTATTCCATTACATTTTATTGCCATGTGACAGATGGCAGTAGAGGGGAAGTCTGACAATATGGAGTCCGATAAATTGTACAACTAATCAAATGTGAAAATTTCTATTTCATGCTAGATGTTTTGATTTTCCTTTCTGTAGATTTCTGTATTCAGCTTTCATCTTGCAATCATCTTCAGGGATTAAAAAAAATAATAAATGCTGTCATGTAATAGTATTGTATAGTTTTTGTTGTAGGTTTACTTTTTTAATGACTATGAAATTTAAGAATCCAACATTCAGTGATGCTCTTCTTTTTCACATGAGACTCATATTTGTAGATAATTTGAATATGTCATTGAGTTTTCTGTGATAGGTTTTTGCTTAGCAGACTCATAAATTAAAGCATGCTTGTTGCTTTGGTCACTTACCACAGATTATATTTGATTTGGAGGTAGCTGTGATGTTGAGTACCATGTTCTTGAAGCTGTATGAAGTTGAGGGAGCTGCTTAGTAATTTCTTCTGACTTCAAAGACGTGGTTCGCAAAGGTTGACGTGTGTCCTTTCCAGTCATTTCTGTGAGTGAGAAAAAGACTACACATTTCACTTAACTGTATGACGAGAGCAATGATCTGTGGAACCATGAGGGACACAGGATGTACACACAGAAAAAGAAAAAAAAAATAGAAAGTTAAAGGAGTGAGAGATGTGCAGGCCAAAATGATGATATTGAGAAGGAACAATCTTCAGGATTCTGTTCTTGGTATGTTTCTGCTCTTTGGGAAGATGGCAGTGCTTCCCCTGCATGTACCTTTCCCAGAATTTGTGGGGAAAGGATGCCTGGAGGGTGTTCTGTTGGAAAAGCATCTGTGGTTATCTGAATCCAGACTGTGTATTTGGAATTTGTAATAATGCTTTCTTTGTGGAGGAGATGAGAAAACCTCTGTGTATATTTCCTTATGCTTCCTCTAATGGCTGTTCATTCCAAATGATCCCTATCACTGAATATAAGTAAAGGATGAAAGAAGGAGCATGCATACTTCCTGATGCTTTTCATTTGTCAGTTCATCAAGCCAAGCACGTTCAAATTTTTTTAAATCGAAATAAAATAATAATGTAAGTTATTTAAATGTCAAGCTGTTTGGACAGCAAAGGGTATGTGACTCATAAGAGCTCGCTTGTTCTTGTTTCATATGATACACTTTTTTTGGAGATTCTTTGCATAAAGCAGCTACTTACATGGTTATTCCTGCCCATGCAATGATCATTACATACATGGCTTCATTTAAGACATAAGTTGTGTGTAAAACAATGCCCAAACCCACATTATTAAAAATAAATAAATAAAATAAAAAAAAAAGTTTGCTGTTTCCTTGGGTTAGAAAGGGTACCATTTACCTTTTTATCTTCAGGTCTGTCTCTAGCAGTATAACATAACACAGCATGCCAGCACAGAGGGACTATCATTTTGAGAATTCTAATTGTATTCCTGTCTGCTAGGAAAGGCAACAGTCATAAATTTTAGTCTCACCTTAAGTATCAGGGCTTTAGAGCATTTAGCACTTCCTTTATTCCTCATTGGCTGATACTTACTGTGTTTTTATATCCCCAAATACTTTTCTTAGGGGGGTGTTTCCTCAGCATTTTATAGTGGTTTAAAAGGATGATAGTTCTTGCACCGAGTGACCTAATTAGGTGTTTTAAGCTGTCTATTCTAGCATCTGCTACTGTGAGACAGTTGCATTTCCCTTGAAGCCTGACTTTATGAGAAAAATTCTGCTTGAAAGCATGTACATTTTACTTATATTTTCTTTACATCTCTTCCTGTCTTTTAAAATTTGCCTTTAATTTTCGTGTGGAAACAAAATCTTGATTGCATGTAATAATTGCCATCATTATTTCTTGCTTCCTGCATACCTTTGAAGTTGGAAAACTTAATTTTGCATACCTTCTTGATATCATGATATTTTAGTTCAAGTGACTGTGTATAGCTTCCCAGAAATTTCTTGCTAGTAGAAGAAGAATGTGATCCAGATAGCTTTGTTGGTATGTTAAATTCTACATTAAAAATAAAGAAAGAAAAAAAAAAAAGCATTGTGGATCAAATTTAAACAGCTTAAAATCTAGAAACTCAGTGCTTTTTTGCAGAACTTTGAGAAGGGCACATATGCCTAACAGCATTTCTTCTTTCTGATTTTAAGTTCTCTCATTTTTACAGGGTAGAGAATTGGAGGAAAAAGGAGTAGGAAACATATGAGGCTGCAAAGATTATAGAGCTCCTAATTGGATTGTGCAGGGAAAAGATCATAGAATCACAGAATGGCCTGGGTTGAAAAGGACCGCAATGATCATCTAGTTTCAAGTCCCCTAATGTGTGCAGGATAGCCAGCCACCAGACCAGGCTGCCCAGAGCCACATCCAGCCTGGCCTTGAATGCCTCCAGAGATGGGGCATCTACAGTCTCTCCTTGAGCAACCTGTTCCAGTGTGTCACCACCCTCTGTGTGAAAAACTTCCTCCTAATACTCAACCTAAACTTCCCCTTAGTTTAAAACCATTACCCCTTGTCCTATCACAATTCACCCCTGTAAACAGTTGTACCACCTCCTGCTTATATGCTCCCTTCAAGTCTGGAAGGCCTCAAGGAGGTCTCCCTGGAGCCTTCTCTTCCCAAGCTAAGCAAACCCAGTTCCCTCAACCTTTCTTCATAGGAGAACTGCTCCAGCCCTCTGATCATCTTAAGGACCCTCCTCTGGTCCCATTTCAAGAGCTGCGTATCTTTTTTGTGCCCTAGGCCTGGATGGAGTATTCCAGTGGGTCCTCACAGGAGCTGAATAGAGAGGGGACAATCACCTCCCTGTCCTTGCTGGCCACTCCTCTTTTAAGATACCTGACCTTGTATTACACCAAAAGACGAACATTAGTTGAATGTTCTGAGTACTAACAGGCTGATAGCAGGAGATTAAAAGTAGTCCTTCAGTTTTGGTGGTGTTAGTGATGACCCTTAGGAGTTGAGTGTAGGCTTTTCTGGTATCTAAATACCATGGTTATTTCACAATTGCAAATGTGAGCCAGTAGAGTTACTCAACTGAACAAAACTTGCTAAAAGAATTCAAATGACAAACAGGGTGTGTTCCCTGGGTGTGTTCAGTCTCTTCAGATCAGTTCATTCCCAATCCAGTTTTATTGATCCCATTTGAAAGCCCAGTATTTCAAAGTCTTCAACTCCTTAATTTCCTTTCATTTTGTCAGAACCTATAGAGGTTCTAAATTCCTTGTTTTTCTTCATTCCTTCAGGAAGGGCAGTCTTCTGTATATAGACTTCAATATTTTTGCCACCTGAGCTTGTGTTTGAGTCTTGACCCTCTTGCATTGTTTAGTTGTATGATTATTCTCTTTCTTTGGATGTCATTATTGCTTCCTTGCTAACCATGGAGGGCCTTTCACGGCCATGCTCTTTTGCATTTCTAGGGCTTTAGAAACTGCTTACCATTTTTCTACTTTTTCATTTCATTGATGCTTATTTTACTCCTTTGAGACTTGTGGACCTTTATTTTCTTGGGTTGGATAACTTTTTTAGAGACAATGGACCTCAAGATTCTTTCTTTTTTGCTGGCAGCAAATTAACATATTTTTATTTTAATATTTTTTAATTAACATATAATTTAGGATTACTACTTTTTGTGTTGAACATTGAAAACTGATGCTTGCATGTTAAAAAAATGTAGACCAATCACTGTGTATTTTGGTTAGTCCATCACATTTAGTTAGCACATCACATATCTGTGAGAGCTATGAGTATGATACCTGGCTCTTGTGTTTTTCCATAAGCAGTAGTAGTAACTGCTAAAAACAAACTAGTAGGATAGCGGGATCCTTGGGCTTAGCAGTTTGGTTGTTACTAAAGCAAATAACTTACAATGAGATACCGATGTTTTCAAAAGAGGATGCTAATTTTAGGCTATTTGAAACCTGTCTGAGCTCTGAAATTATTGGCCTTATTTTTAAATGTGCTGGACATCCTTGAAACTCAAATGCTGTTTGATGACAGAAACATAGAGAGTCCCTGGGAGAGCTGTAGATCATGTCAGTTTATATTGCTGGCTAACTGAGGATTTGACAACAAAGTAGGTAATAAAGATCTT